AAATTAAATCAAACGAGGAATTATACTATCTTCGAGACAATATAATATGATGGTTTAATCGAGAAACACAATAAAATAACCAAAATAAAAATAATACCAAATAATTCAAAATAATCACATAAATCCAATATTCGAACGGGGCGCTACAGTTCCCCAAGCATGAGCCCAACTGTGGACCAAACCCACTCCGCTCAATACTCGAATAACAAATTATTTCACAAAAGAAATATTATTGCACTCCTAATTTAACTATGAATTACAATTAATTTGTTCCCAGTTTATTGTTTGATTTAGATCTATACTTAAGATGTGACGTTCATTGATTAATTTAATTACTGACAATCAACAAAGTATAATGTTGTAACCCTTACCTTAAAGTTATGTCTATAGGCGAGTTCTGATTTGGCCCTTAATTGGTCCTTACCTCAAACACATCAGTACGCGTAGGTTGTGTCCATAACTTGATCGCACCTGTACACCAGTGACCATTGAGTTGTGTCGTTACGGTCATATTCTAAAGTTCAATTGGGTAAAAACTCGATATTGATTAGGTATTTTCAATATTTTCACTTAGCCTAACACTGCAATTAAACTAAAAGAAATTACAAAAGATTACAATATCAGCAACAAGTACATAATGCATAATACTTTACCAGAAAGCTATATTATATTTTAATTACACCCAACATCACCTTATAAAGAGAGAGGAAGTTACTGTGAACTGTAGCATCCGAAATTATATATTTGAACTTGAGGATGCCCGTAACTGTAATTTCACCACCACAGGATAACAGTATTTGCAACTCATTGACAGATAGATGTATATGCATAAGCAAAATCAACATATCTAAAATGGATCCAATGGTATAATCTCAAACCACGCATCTTCTTCAGCTAACAAAAATAACCAAAATGGTGACATCAAACAAGCTCTCCGAAACTGAACATTGCTACAAAAATTCCATCAATGAAAAGAACAGGATAAGGTATCAAAGTTCCATTTTTTCACGACAGAAATAAACAGAAAAGTATGACTGCGAAGAAGCATATTTATTCCCAGCCAGGTGGAGCAACAGTAGATACTCCTTCAACGGCTGTTGGTGGGGGCACAGCCGAGTCCCATCCTCCATCGGCAGCAACAACTGCAGTTTATCAACAGTTCAAGCTTTATGATGAATGGTTTATAAAAACAGGGTAACATTCTTTCTTATTGATTTAAACCTTCAGCCGGAATAAAACAGCTAAAGCATTAACATGCATATGCAGAACCAATTAACCAAACCCATGTGCTGCTGAAATTCTCCTAATCAACAATCAGTACTTCTTTTAGGGGTCTCGAATGAGAATAAAAGACCATCATATAAGAAGATTTTATTTGTCAGACAACAAATAAATCCAGAAAAAAATGTAATATACAAAGACAGGTGCCACACAAAAGAAGAGGAAAGAAATGAAACTGATGAGACTAACCAGTTGACTCTGCAGCAGTCCAACCACTTCCAGCTGGAGCAGGAGCATCACCAATAGACCATTGACCATCGGGAATTTGGCCACTAGACCACTCAGCACCAGCAACTCCAGCAGCAGCACCAGAGTAATCAGCATAATCTGCAATAGCCGGAACCTCTTCTTCTTCCTCCTTAGCCTCCTCAGGCTCCCGATAGAAGAATAGATCTACCTGGCAAACACAAAATTTCTTTATAAGTATCATCCAGAGAATAAATGGCATGAAAGCACTGATTAATTCGATTTCAGGGTACTTATTAACTAATCTATAAGCAATTACTATATTACCATGATATCCCATTTGTGACCAGGAGCAACAAGACCGCGCATCTGGAGCACCATCCTTGCCAAAAGCCAAAAGAGGCAACCAATGCTGTGCTTCCCCTTGTTGTTGGCTGGAATACCGATATCAACATACCTCATTGGGGAATCAGTGTCACAGAAAGCAATAGTGGGGATGTTAGATAGAGAAGCTTCCTTAATTGGCTGCACAACAAAGACGATATACCACAATGGACATTTAGCAGCAATGGAGTAGACAAATGTGCCTATTTATACTAAGAAAAAACAAGGACTAGAAATATCACTCGCCTGATGATCAGTCCTTGGATCAGTGAGGATGAGAAGCCTTGGCTCGCTAAAGGAAGTCTGGAGCTGATTTGTAAAAGTACCAGGGGTATGGCGTCCAGCGATTGCATGGGCCCCAGTGTATTGGGCAAACTTGAGCACGGCCCTCTGACCATAGGGCCTGGCAGACTGGACAATGATGTCCTGAGGGTTCTCAATTGCAACAATAACCCTGGCAGCCAACTGGAGCTTCTCCCAAGTTTTTCCGAGGTTGATAATGTATATTCCTGCCAAAAAAAAAAATCAAAAATCAGAAAAAGTTCAAGAATATGTGAAGAACAACTAAACGATAGGACTAAATAGCACTTCGATAAACTAGATCAGTTTGATATATGCAGTGATAAAGGGGGCACAACTATACAATCAACAATTAGACCTTTATTGTTTTACCGAGGAAAGGCTTAGCTAGTTCCATTGGGTACATATAGTACACACTACCTCGAACCAGTAGCTACAAGAATTGAAGTACTCATAAGTTTCTGATTTTCTTTGTATTCCTATCTTATTATTTTTCTTGTTCAAGTTCACTAATTTATCAGGGAGAATTATTTCATAACAAAAGCCTGTGAAGCAAATTATTTCATCAGTACCGCAGATTTGCAAACAACTACTACATGGATCTGATTCATTCACACATACTACCAACAACGTTAAATAACATGAATAACATGAATACATACGCACGAACAAACAGGCACAAATCATGTGAAATACCATCATTTCGGCGCTTAAAGACATAGCGCTCCATCTGAAAGTTGCAGTTTTTGGTGCCGAGGTGAGCTTCGGCCGCCAGCAGCATCTGTATGTCCTTCTCCTTGGTCGACAGCGCCATGATTCTGTCCGAGGGTACAACAATGTCCGGCTTTGCTCTGCGAAAATGGGCGGGCGTGGCTCAAGTTTTGCGTCTTATACAAAAGAAACCCTAGGATAGAGAGGATTTAGGCAGGCTTAATCAAGACCATTGGACTTTTTCTACTAGTTCTGGACTGAAGTATCTTATCTGGGCTTGGGCTCAACCCGACAAAATCCCCACCCATTATCACATCATGCACATCCAAAAATTGGGGTCGTTTACTTTGCAGGATAGGGACAGGATAAGACAATTAGTCCTGGTAATCCTACATTTACTTGCGCGGATTGGGATGGGATTTTAGTGACATGGCACTAATGTGGCAGCCTTCCATCCGCCACTTTCAGATTAAAAAATCCCGCCACTTCGAGGTGATTAATTTGTCCCAAATTTATCTTACTTTTACTACCCTCAAAAAGTAATGTGAAAATACCAAAATACCCGTTCATTTGCCTCAATTTACAGTTCCATACCAATTAAAAGGAAAAAAGACGGCCATTTGTTGCCCTAGTTGGCGCAGCAACTACGACGCCATTGTTGAGAAGGTTAGGGCTTCGGTTCTCCGTCAGGCTTAAAGGTGAGCTTCACATTCGCCATTTTAACCTATTCCATTTCCAGTTTTGTTAATTTATGTCCGTTCGTCGGACGATTCGTGGTACAAATATTCAAATCGAGCATTTTGCCCTAATTTCTGCAGAAACGACCACGACATTTCGTGAACCTGTAAGATTCGGATTCTCCGTCGGGAAAGGACTAAAGGTGAGCTCGAAAATTGCTATATAAACCTTTTTTATTTCAATTTTGCCCTAATTTTGTTGTTTGAAGATTTCTGGACCTCTGGCTCGAATTTTGTTTTATATATATATAT